TCATCTGGTAATTTATCCATTAATTCATTCATCCATCTTCCATCCATCCATCCATCATCCATCCATCCATCCATCGGTTCATCCATCCATTCATTCATCCATCATCTATCCATTCCTCCATTCATCCATCCATCCATCATCCATCCATCCATCGTCCATCCATTCATCCATCCGTCCTCCATCCATCAATCCATCCATCCATCATCTGGTAATTTATCCATTAATTCATTCATCCATCTTCCATCCATTCTTCCATCCATCAACCATCCATCCATCATCTATCCATCCATTCATCCATCCATCCATCCATCCATCCATCCATCATCCATCTATCATCCATCCATAATCCATCCATAATCCATCCATCATCCATCCATCATCTATCATCCATCCAGCAGCCATCCATCCATCATCTATCATCCATCCATCCATCATCCATCCATCAGTTCATCCATCCATCATCCATCCATCATCCATCCATCCATGCATCCATCCATTCCTCCATCATCCATCCATCCATCCATCCATCTGATAATTCATCCATCAATTCATTCATCCATCTGTGCATTTATGCATCCACTCATCTGTTCATCCCTCTATGAATTCATTCATTCATTCATTCATCATGGACTTATCCGTCCAATCATTGACCCATCAGTGTATTAATTATTGTTTACAATTTGTTCTATCATTTTTTTATAATTTTGTGTGTTAATGAATTTAATCTCAGTGAGTTATTTTAATTGACCAATAATTGATTAAACCCTTTAGCACTCTGCCTTTTCTGCCCCTCCTGGGCTTCCGTAGCCTTCTGCCCTCGTTTGCATAGATGAGGGTGAGTTATGTGAAAAACCGCGATCATATTGTGTTATTTTCTTTGAAATTTACTCATTTTTGTTTAAATCTTTTGTGTATAGTCCCATTTTTGTTTACTGTACCTTATCGGGCTGTTTTGTGTTGTTTTGACCGCTATTCTAGGTTTTACGGACTTTCTTTAGTGGACGTTTTTGGCGCGATTTGTTTGACAGGGTGAACCAGGAAGTAGGAAGTTGGGGGGCGGAGCTTAGCTTTTAAAAGCCAGAGGGAGGCAAATCTGGGCCTTTCACTCCACATGGGTGCAGAGGGCAACTGGCAGCCATCATACTTGAGCTGATTAAGCCGAATTTGTGTTTGGTGCGCAGAAAAAGGTAAATGTATACTCAATGTTTGTCATAAAAGCAGTGTGGCAAATAATGACCATATCCTTTTACATCCAAGTAATAGCCACAGTCATCAGTCATCACCTGCTGGCAGTGTTGGGTAAGTTACTTTAAAAATGTAATCCGTTACAGTTACAAGTTACCTTGTTTAAAATGTAATTGTAGTGTAACTTTTTCGATTACTTTTAAAAAGTAATGTAACTAATTACGTTTGATTACTTTTTGATTACTTTAAGGTTTTAAGGAGTATTGACCCATGATTAATTTTAGCATGTTATTATTAGCTATGCTAGGCTAAGGTCTGTTATCGATACTTTTTAAAATGAGTATCGTATCCGGATACATTTTAGTATCTATACTTTTTTAAGTATCGATACTTTTGACAACCCTAGTCTGAAATGTAGGACATGTCCGGGAAAAAGAGGACGTCTGGTCACCCTACAGTTGGCTAGGCTAGGCTAGGCTAGGCTAGGCTAGGTCATAGACATCGATAAACGTTTGTCATGCATCAACACCAAACAGTCAAATATTAGTAAATCAATACACTTCGTCTATCAGTGAGTTGCATATTTTCCAAAGGTTTTTCTTTATATTTTTTAAAAATGTAACTAAATTTGTAATTAATATTTTCGGAAGTAACTGTAACTGAATTACATATTTCCTCATTGTAACTGTAACGAATTACAGTTACTCTTTTTTTGTAATTAAATGACGTAACGTCGTTACATGTAATCCGTTACTCCCCAACACTGCCTGCTGGCCTCTACAACTAGGAGAATTCTTTTTGGGATGCTAACAAAGGTAACTTACTTAAGATGGTGATTTGAATAATAGAGTGATCGTCATATTGATTGTGGAATGTGTGTGTCTTTAAGCGATGATCTGGATGCCACTGTTTTTTCCCTTTGTTAAAGTTTAGGCTGTACACTAATTGTTTGGGCCCGTATAGAAGTTTTGGACCGTGTCAATTTGAATTGACCTGGGGCACCTTTGCATGTTTTGTTTGGTTTTTATTTGGGCTTTGTTTGGCCGTGCCATTTTGATTTTATTTGTTTCCTAAGCTGCATATTTATTATTATTTACACTACTCCAGGTCAGTCAAGTGTACGCTTGTCCTGTTTTGAATACGGCCCCTCGATTAACTGTATTTTCAAGATTTCAGAACAACTAATAGTGATTTTATGTTTCTGTAAATACATTTTGTACTACTAATTAAGTCTCTTTATACTCTATTTTACACTTGGTCACATTTGTTTGCCACTTCCGGGTGTTACGTTTAGGAGCAGAGATGTTGAGAAAAGTCTAAGAATATGTCGTTATACCTTCTTCAGGTTTGTGTTTTCTTTATTAAATAATTAGTTAAGTCAACTTTAACTTAGCTATCCCACGCTTTTCGCCACTAGGTGGCGTTGTTTGCCTCGGTTAGCCTATGTGCTCTTTTCTGGTTTTAAGCCTTCTGCGGGAATAAATTAATAAAGTAATCCTTCATTCCCCAACAATAAACCCGTCACACATCCCTCCATCCATCCATTCAACCCTCCTCCTCCATTTAAAGGCTCTTTAAAGGGCTAGCATGCTAACACGCCTCCGTGAGCTAGCATGCTAACCTCCGTGAGCTAGCATGCTAACACCGCGAACGAACCGGGCACGCGGACCCGGGCACGGGCCCAGATGCTCAGAAACAAGAAAAAAAAAGAAAAAGTCTGTCCTCAAACCGGGCTCACCTTGCACAGCTGCTCCCGAACCCCGGATGTAAACAAACCCACTTCCGGTCCGGTATTTTCAAAGTAAAACGCAACGCGTTCAGCCGCTGGCAGCGGGAATTTACTCATCCACTTTATGCCATAAAAAATAATCCCAACCCTAAAATAAGGGCGGGAAAAAACCTGTCCACTATTTTCTCTCTTCTAAATGAGATTTTGGGGTGTCTGGAATGGTTTTACTAACCACAATGTTTCCATAAAGCCGAAATAAACACTATTTATACCAGAGATGTTCAGTAACGAAGTAGAGCTACTTAAGTACTGTACTTAAGTACCAAAATGCAGTATCTGTACTTTATTGGAGTAGATATTTTTCCCCCTACTTTTACTTTTACTCCACTACATATTTTTGATTATTTCAATACTTTTACTCCGATCGATTTTTCACGGGCTGAATCGTTACTGGTTACTGAAATGTAAACGTAATGATAGATAGCTCTGTCAGGGTTTGGGAAGCTGGCTCCTCATTGGCGATTTGAACGATCAAGCATAGCATATTAAAAAAAAGCTTCCTGAAAGATGATTAATTATAGCCTTCAAAAATTCCCCATCTAATCTGAAGAAGCATATCAAGGTAAATTAAAAAATAAAATGTCATAAAAGCTGGTAAATAAGGGCTAGTTCAGTTCTCCCTGTTCACTCAGGATGTAGCAGCTAACGTTAGTTAAAGCTAACCTAGCTGGCTAGCTGTATGCTACATGCTAGTGTAGCATGAGCGGTACACTGAACCCAAAGCACACAGGTGCAATATACCTAAGAAGGGCCACAGACACTGATCCGATTCACATGTTTATTGAAGATCTGTTCTAAAACATACACACACACAGTAACAGGGGACTGAGGCCAATCTGGGACGAGGATAACTAAAGAGGGACAAAACACCACAAAAAAAAAGAAACACCACTTAAAGTGCACTGCAAAACCAAACACTACCACCGCCACCAGGTTGGACTCTCAGCCCCTGCAACAAGACAAACAATGTTAAAATTAATATTGCGACACATGAACATACAAAGGGCACAAAGCACCCAATAAGATATTGCACATCTCCCGTAAACGTCCAAGGAAAAGCGCGATCGCCCGCCCAGAGCGCGCTATATGCCCGTGCGAAGTCCTCGGCTTTCATACGGATGTATAACCTCGATGCGAAGAGAACCGAGGGTGCCAACGGAGCACCAACCAGGGACGATGCAGTCCTAGCGTGCGCGTTATTAAAACGCGAGCATGCTCGGATACAGACAAACCGGACAAAACGGCAGCGTCTAGTTCAGAAATGGAGGACAGTTACAGTTAGAATTTAGAATTTAAGAGTTCATGCACCAGCGACAGCCACTACTTACCATTTAAGGCATTAAAACATGCAAGCCATGCAGAGCGAAGCAGGGGAAGCGACAACAACACCTGGAGACACAATATATACAACTAAGCCTTTACAAACTAACGGCCAACCACGGGCCCGATCCCTCACCGTTAGGACGTGGAATGGCTCCTCGGTCTACACATGTCTCCGCGTGGGTCCGAACTGCCATAAAGAACACCATTAGTGGACGACTCTGTGGTTTAAATTGGAGACGTAACCTCCTTACCTGCCGCGGGACGCGGACAAATGCGGAAGTGAATGCCGGGGGGCGGGCCTTCGTGAGAGGTCAAAGGGGGAACAGCAACCAAGAGGCGCTTTTATGGCCCGATGGGCAGTGCAAACAGCCAATCAGAGCTCTGTCCCTCAAGTGGCCAGGCCTACATGGCATATTACCACACTAGCATAAAGGCTCAGCTCAGGATTCTGACTCTGGAATAATAAATAATAGCAGATGAAGTGCTGTTGATGCTAATGCAGATGTAGTTTTCTGTTTTTGTAAACACCTGTATGGCCTTTCACACGTTTGAAATATTATAAACAATATCTATCACACTTTTGACTGCCTTTTTTAATATACACAGTACTTGTACTTTTACTTATACTTGTACTTTCTATACTTGAGTAGCAATTTTTGAAATACTTCTACTTGAAATACTTAAGTACAAAAGAAATGGAGTACTTCCGTACTTCCACTTAAGTATGGTGTTGAAAGAATACTTCTACTTTTACTCAAGTCAATTTTTTTACATAGTACTTGTACTTCTACTCCACTCCTCTACTCCAGTACTTTAAACATCTCTGATTTATACATGTAACCCTCGTAGGAAAATGATGACTAATCGATTATAACAGTAACTGTCCTCCATTTTGACACCTTATAACACAACTCATGTTTCTGCTGTTATTTTATTGTTTTTTTTTATATTCCTGAAAATAAAAGCTCAGGCTTGCTCGCCGCCGTCGTTTTCACAGGTGCATGATGGGAAATGACCTCTGAAAGGTCTAGTTGTGTGGAGTGGATTCCCTTTAAGGACTTCAAATTTGAGGGAAAAAAGCTGTAATTTGGTGGCGGAACTCCCTCCACTGAATATTTCATCGTCCTGTTATTTAACAGCCCAAATAATTAACCAGCATGCCCCCCCCCCCCTCTCTCTTTTTTCTTTTTTAGCCGCCCTACTTTGAGTTCCCTCTCCCAGAGCGGTGTTCCTGGAGTCTAAGCTGTCCTCCTAATTCCACCCCAGTCAGCAGTTATTTTCCTTTAAACCATTGTATTTCTCCGCATTAAGCTTTTTCAGCACAAATGAGCTTTTTTTCTTCCTTTTTTTCTGCTGTTGTCTATAATCACCTACGGCCAAAAGCACTTCTTTTAAAAAACACTGCACTGAACGTCGTCATTAGTGAGTTCGGCTGGGATTTTTCTGGAAATCTGAGCTATGGAGGAGGACAGAAATCTCTTTTTAATGCAGATAACGCGTCGGTTTGTGAGTGATGGCAGACTAAAATGTCTACAATTACAACAATTAGTCATAAAATGACCTTCATGTGGAGCAAAATACCAGAGAATGATATTAAATGGACACAAAACTCCAATAATTAGCCACAAAATGATCAAAATGTGGAGCAAAAGAGCCGAATAAGAGACAAACTGACCACAAAATAACAAAGAAAGACACAAAACTTTTAAAACGTCCAGCAAAAGAGCAGAAAATGATCATAAATGAACACAAAACTAATTTCATTAGCCATTAAATGACCAAAATGTAAAGCAAATGACCAAAAGAAGGTAAAAAGTTATCACAAAAGGTTAAAAAAGACACTTAAACAGCTCAAACGTCCAGCAAAAGAGCGGAAAATGATCAGAAATGGACAGAAAACTAATTTCATTAGCCATTAAATGACCAAAATGTGAAAGAAAGGACCAGAATAAGGTAAAAAGTTATCACAAAAGGTTAAAAAAAGACACTTAAACAGCTAAAACGTCCAGCAAAAGAGCAGAAAATGATCAGAAATGGACAGAAAATTACATTAAGCCATAAAATGACCTTCATGCGGTGCAAAAGACCACAAAATTATATCAAGTGGAAACAAAACTCCAATAATTAGCCATAAAATGATCAAAATGTGGAGCCAAAGAGCAGAATAGGAGACAAACTGACCACAAAAAGACCAAAGAAAGACACAAAACTTTGAACAAGTCCAGCAAAAGAGCAGAAAACTATCAGAAATGGACACAAATTTCCAGTAATTAGTCATAATATGACCACAAAGTGGAGCAAAACTCCAGCAAAAGATCAGAATCCATTGCTAACACAGAAAGGATTATCTTTCCTCTGAAGCCTCTCAGGGTTCAGAACAGATAAACAAACTAAATGCTCCCGTTGGGTTTAAAGCTTAGGCTGCTCAGATGTGCATGCTAACTGATGCTAACTCCAGTTAGCATGAAAATAGACCTTTTTAAGGCGTTTTTGGGGGGAATAGCAGGACTTCTTGTACCTGTGAGAGCAGCTGACCACTGTGGACCTTCATAGAGAAGACTGAACTCCACATAACTTTCTGTTCTCTGCTTTTTTTAATCATCTGTCACCAATGGGAGCGGCTTGTTTGGGTTGTAAAGGAGGCTGGACATCCCTGTTTCCCTTCTTTTGAGCTTCCTGTTGCCTTCAGCTAGCTCTTCTCTCCCACTAAAGAGCCTGGTCAGGGGTCTGGAGACCAGGTCAGGAGTCAGGATAAGGAGTCAGGTTCAGGGGTCAGGTCTCGGCTTAAAGTGTCAGGGGTCCCCCCACCCCCCACCGTTGGTATTTGGTCAGCGGGCCACAGAGCTCAGCCAGGTCCCTCCAGTCCTGTGTCTCCATATGGCCTTGCCCTCCTTCAGGCACCCTCATTGGCAGAAGCTATCACTAACAACAGCCCAAATGTCAGTCATGTGACCTCTCCAGAGTAGGGTTGTCACGATACTAAAATTTTCAACTGGATACCGATACTCAGGAAAATACTCCATACTCGATACCATTTTCGATACCACAAGGATTAAAAAAAGACCCCAAAATTTAAATGAATTTTCACAGGTTAGTGTCTTTCACTTCAAACTGACCTGTTACTAATGTTATCGTGACCCTAACCCTAACCCTGACCCTAACCCTCCACCCTTCATAATTGTAAGAAATAAATATTTTTTGGTTAAACTTGTTTGGACTTATTGTACAAACCTATTTAACATCCACTATTTTAACATAATAATAGGTATAGAGTTTAATTAAGTGTTTGAAAGATTGATTTCACAATTTTTAAATTAATGTCTATATTGCCATGAGGCAATTAGGATTTTCTTGCCTGGAATCTTCCTATTGTTAATGTAACTATAATGGCCGACTTCGATGTGGACGGAGTCGGATATGTATTTGATTAATGGTATCACCTTATTATTAGCCATTAGCCGAAGTTAGAAGTTCAAGGCTAACAACTTGTTAATGATCATAAACAACGTAAATAAATCAGAGAGAAGGGGCGCAGCGACAGCAGGTCAGGCTCGCGCGGTGGTATCGATACTTTTGAAAATGAGTATCGTATCCGGATACAACATTTTAGTATCCATACTTTTTTGAGTATCCATACTTTTGACAACCCTACTCCAGAGGCTCCCAGGCTGCTTTTGAGGGCCCCAGAAAGGTTCCCAGAGCAGGGAGTAGGTGGCTCCACTTCGAAATTTCTTCAGAAATTTTCTAGTTTTTATATCTGAATCTGTGTATTTGATAAGTTGATTTAAACAAAAAGGCGAGGATAGAATGAAGTTGTTGTGTATGAGAGCAGGCGGAAAAAGGAATGTTACCAAGTCTGTCCACATTCCAAAGCCACACGCAGCTCTTAGATGGTTATCTTATCTCTTTGTCTGGAAAAGTCAGTCGGGTCAACTTCATTCCAGCTCAGGGTTTGGAGTAAGATTGTTGATTTACTTTGAGTGGTTCTTTGTCGCAGACAATAAAAACTGAAAACATTTTGGGAGAACTAGCACATTTCTCAAGAAATTTTAAGAGGGGTATATTGGAGCCACAAGGCCTGAACTCACACCGTTTGCCCGCAATCCCTGTTGCTCAAATTTCCATAAAAAATTAACTGGTGGTAGCAGCCGATTATAAAATACACTGGCTGAGCCCTACAACCCTCGTGGCACTCACGGTTCGAGAATTATTAAGCTCTGTAATATAGTTTTCAAACAGCGGGCGGGAGTTCGGATCCAAACTCTCAGACTGTCAGTTGAAAAAGTGTCAGAGCTGCGGCTTTATGATGATTGACAGCTGTAAAGTTTGGAATGTTCAGTGGTGGGGCCAGACTGCTGTTGCCATGGCAATGAGCTGGCAGGGACCGGACCGAGCCGGGTCAGGACCGGACCTTGCCGAGGATTGGGCCCAGCCATGTCGTACCTCGTTGCGTTGGTCTTTTTCTCACCTTTCAGCCAATGGGACCCACGACCTGCCCCCCCCATCCGTATTCGGGCAGCGGGCCCCAGAGCTCAGCCGGGTCCCTCCATCACTGCGTCTCTCCATCAGACCCTCTCATAAGTGCAAGCCTTTATTAAAAACAGCCCAAATATCAGTTAGCCGACCTGGGCTGCAGAGGCTGCCAGGCTTCTTTTGAGGGCCCCAGCCCAAAAGCTGGGGGAGCCAACGGGCAGTAGGTGTTCCCCCTTAAAATTTCTTCCAAAATTTTCTAATTCTGCTACTTATAGTTATCCCGTTTCAGTCACAAACTTTGGCGCTTAATGAGTCCGGCACGGTTCGACGGATCGGGCCCCAAAAAGTCACGCATGTCTGAACCGATCACGCGACACATGCTACTATTTTTCTCTCTCATTAGTCCCGGCGTTTTTGAATAAACGGTGAAAAAGGTGAAACACCATCCCATAAAACAATTAATGGCAAGGCCGAAAAACATGGCCTAATCACTCCACCCCACAGCCTCTGAGAAACCTCATTCAAACATTTAGCGAGTCACAAAAGATGGGCATCCGCCATATGGGCGCCACGTGGCCTGATCTTGCACCACTGGTCCACTATCACTGTTGGCGTTTTAGCAAAAATCTGAAAAATCCTAAAATCTGCCTTCCACTCTAGTGACATCATCATAGGCTCTAACTGAGCAGTCGGGAAAGTCATAAAAATAAAGTCAAACTCCTGCCTCTCACGACCAAACCGTACAGCATCCTCTCTCAGCCAATGTGCCCACTTTTGACCTCTGCCTCAAGGTTTTCCCAAAAATGGATATATGGTTTGATCAGTACATGGTTCTGGTACCAGGCGGGTGAAGCCCGCTAACAGTGCTTTCATCAGTACAGGCTCCCAGGAAGGTTTTGAGGGCCTTAGAAAGCCAGCCCAGGTTCCTGGAACGGGCAGTAATTTCTTCAGACATTGTCTAACTTGATTTGTACTGTGCAGAGGATAAGGCCCAAAGGATAACACAAAAAATAGTTAATCAACTTCTCCTGTGTGTTGAATTTTTCCCAGAATGAATTTCTATACCATAATCCTCAATAATAATCCTCAATAATAGTGTTTATCGGGAGAATGGGTAATACATTTTATAGGCTCGTCACGATTCTTTCCCTTATTACAAGTATCTAATTTTTTCAAACCCGGGCTCATTCTGGATCAGACATTCAGGGATTATTTTAAAAGTCGGAATTTGGAAGCAATCTTGGTCAAAGGGCAACAGCCTCCGTGCCCACTCACTTTTTTTTACTGCATTATTTCCTATGGACATTAGTGGGGTGAAGGGCACTGATGTGTCTTTGCGTGTCAGGAGAACTAAGATAAAAATCTTATCTGAGTTCAGTCCATCACAGGGTGTAACTGTTCCAGTGTTTGGATGCATATTAAGTATGTGGAGACAATAGAGAGGAATGTGCTCGGAAAGTATTTTTTCTGAAAGCTTCCTGGTTCAAACCTCCCACCATGCAAAAACATGACTGTTCAGGTCCGATGGAAGGGAACCAGGTAACCAAAGCATAAAACCTTCCGTCCACTACGAAAGTACGAACATAAGAACTTCTTTTTATTACTTTCTTCCATTCTTTGTTGTTTGAATTCAAGCATTATATCCTTTCAAACCAAACTGATTTATTTGCTTTCATCTTTCTTTTTTTTAACGTTTCACACAGAAAATAAGAGACCGCCCATTTATCTTTCCAACTTTCCGAGAACTCATGTGATCCCTGAATGGAGCCCATATAACAGGCTGAGCTCAGTTCCTGTCCACAGACACGACCGGTAGCAGCACAGGTAAGAAGGACTTCAGCTTCTAGTCTTACAGCTTCGTATTTTATGAGAAAACGCATAATGGAATAGAAGAACTAAATCAGGTTGATCTTTAGGTCTTCATGTTGCTCAGGAAAAAACTGTAGCTCAGTATAATCTTGAATAACTCAGAGAACCAAAACAGTCAGAAATATTGAGCAAATACTGCCAGAATCTGAGGTGTTTTTGTGCCCGCAGACCTGAAGCAGCAGCTCCGTCCTCAGAGGGGAAACAGCATGGCACAGTGAGTACCGTCTGAGGACTTAAAGGTTTTCACACACTGAATGATTTCAGTTATTCTGATTCAATATTTTAGAGAATTAGTTCCTTACTATTACCTGGAGCCCAAATGACTGTTGCCAGGTCTATGTTAGGCTTCGAACCAAAAGCAGATTTTCTGTGGATTTTGGTCATTTTTCTGTTCCTGTGTTAAGTTTAAACCGTTTCTTTACTTGACAGGGACAGTGCATGTTAATGAATGCACCAGTTAGCCCCTGGTTTGTTTTACAGACCTAAAAAAACTAGCCAGGAAACAAATGACTGAATAGAAGCAGTTTAAAAAAAAGGTGGAAGGGGATGAGGCCAAAACTCTTAATCTCAGCGTTGCCATGACTGAGCTCTTTAAGGATTTCCAGGTGAACTTAAAAGAACCGTAAGAGACCTGACCTGTTCTGGAAATGGGGCTCAAACACAGCAGCTTCTACAGAAAAAAATGAACCAATGTATCTATTGATTATCCCCCTGTGGATAGGTGAGACCATGGCGGTCTCATGAATAAGACTAATAGTTACGTACGCAAACATTGTTGGTCCGAAATGTATCAATTCAGACTCATTAAGCGGCCAAACTTAGGTGGTATCAATAAATCTGTTCCAGAGATCCCAGTTTAGAGACAAACAAAGCCTTCTTCGTATTTAGGGGGGCCACTGCCAGCGGCAGGCCCCCCTATTACTCTTCGCCATATTTATTTATTCCGCAACTTATCATAGTTCTCCTGTTTCCGCGGACCACTACTCCTCCCGCACGGTTCGACGGATCGGGCCCAAAGTCGGCACGCGCGTCCATACCCACCTAACCATGCATGCTATTCCATAACTTTCTCAAAAGAGCAGGCGTTTGCCAGTAAATGGCTAAAAAGAGGCAAGTGTTTTCCCATAGGAATGCATTTGGGCCCCCGACAAAAGGGCACAAAAAAAGCGTAGAGATGAGGCCCGTGAGGCCGAGCGGTGCCAAAATTGCCTCAAAACGTAGCCGTGGGCGTCCTCTTTCGGCCGATGTGCCCGCTGTTGACCTCGGCCTTACGGTTTTCCGGCAGTCGGGCCCAGAGTCCAGACTTTCACAACCCTCTCTAATAGGATTTGAATGGAAGAATTTTGAGAAAATCTGATCAATGCCAAATCAGACCTCATTTTGAAATTTCCATTGAAAAAAAACCGCTGGGAGCAGCCCAAACAGAAAAGACTGGCGTCGCCCTGAAAGCCTTGTGCCGCTCACGGTCCAATAATTTTCCAGTTTTGTGAAACAGTTTTAGAACAGTGGGCGGTAGTTCGGGGTGAACTCTTGATCAGAACTGTCAGTTGGGTCTGTGTCAGAGCTGCGGCTTACTGATGAGTCACAGGTGTGGCAGTTTAGAATGTTCAGGCTGCTGTTGCCGTGGCGATCAGCCGAGCTCTGTGAGCTGTGGGGCTGATGGATACATTGGTTCTGGTACCAGGCGGGCGAAGCCTGCTTAGAAAGATTTAAGTAATACGTTGGTTCTGGTACCAGGCGGGCGAAGCCTGCTTAGAAAGATTTAAGTAATACGTTGGTTCTGGTACCAGGCGGGCAAAGCCCGCTCTCAGAGAATTTTTAATTAATACATTGGTTCTGTTACGAGGCGGGCGAAGCCCGCATAGAAGGCTTTAGTCAGAGCCCAGTTCTGGTTCTGGTTCTGGGGATCGGATCCAACCGGAGTAGGGACCGGACCGGGGCCGGACCCAGCCATGTCATACCTCGTTGCGTAGATCTTTTTCTCAGCTTTCAGCCAACGTGACCCGCAACCTTCTCAAACCAATTAAATTTTGTCAGTGGGCCCCAGAGCTCAGCCGGGTCCCTCCATCACTGCGTCTCTCCCTCAGGCCCTCTCATAGGCGCGAGCCCACATTATAGAGAGCCCAAATATCAATTGGCCGACCCCTATTGAGGGCCCCAGGAAGCCAGCCCCGGGTTCCTGGACGGGCAGTAGGTGGCCCTCCTCAAAATTTCTTCAGAAATGTTCTAGTTTATTCAAGAATGCTTTGAATTTGTATCCACTGTTCACTCTAAATACATTTTAATAACTGGTGATTTAACCTACACACCCATAACTGCTCTGCTCCTCTGGAGGGAGAAATTCTAAGTCTTTTATACTGTAGGAACTTTAAGCAGCATGTGGATGGTGTATTACTTCTGAAGTGGCTACATATTTTATTGATATTTCAAACCAGACTCCTGCTCAGATTCTACTGGAGTCATGTGGTCGTATTGTTGATCAATCTAACAGAAATGTAAAGTCAGCCACTGACACTATAGCTCCTGTAAAAACAACTATTTTCTTAAACATATTTTATTGTACAGACAGAGAATTCTTGTGAGCCTCAGACGGGCTGTTCTGGTATTGATTGATTGATGACTTTTCATAAGTATGGAAACATCCTCCTCAAGAATCCATGAAATCAACCAATTCTACTAATGTGCGCCATCCCTTTTACAATAAATTAATACAAAAATATATTTATCATCATTATTCACGTTGCCTGAAAATGTCAAAATGTTTTCTGGTCCTTATTTTGTTTCTAACTTGTTCTTCCACAGACTCCAGAGATTTAATGACTTAATTTACAACAATGCTGTCATTGATGAGGGGCCTCCTACACGCTATCAGCTTAGACTAGATGTGAGGAACCTGGATGGAAAGGGGGATGATTCAAGGCTCAGAATATGCACACTTGGTAAAAAAGATCCAAACAAGACAAATAGAACCATCCTGCTTGTTGGAGAGACCGGCTCAGGAAAATCTGCCCTCGTCAACAGTCTTCTAAACTTCGCAATGGGGGTGAAACAGGAAGACAAAATATGGTTTGAGATAGTAGATGATGTAAAAACAAGTCAATCCCAAAGTCAGACAATAAAGGTGTCAGTGTACCAGATCTTTGGCTTTGAAGGTAAAACTCTGCCCTACTCTCTGACCCTCATCGACACTCCTGGATACGGAGACACCAGAGGGATCGAATACGACGCCATGATCAGTAGAAACTTACATGACCTGTTTGTATCAGAGGACGGAGTTCGTGAAGTTGACGCGGTGGGTTTGGTGCTGAAGGCGACTAAAAACCGACTGAGTGACAGACTGATGTACAGCTTCCAGGCAGTGATGTCTCTGTTTGGAAAAGATATGGAGACAAAGATCGTAGCTCTCATCACACACTCAGATGGAATGGAACCAGAAAATGCCCTTGAAGCTCTGGAAGCAGCAAACATAAAATGTGCTAAAAATGAGAAAGATCAGCCAGTTCACTTTGTGTTCAATAACTGCCTAAGCAAAACAATTACAGAGGAAAATGAGTTAGGATTGGCACTTGCCTGGAATGTCACACTGAGAGGAATGAGCAAACTCTCTGATTATCTAGATAAATCTACCCCCCAAAAGCTGGACTCAGCTGTGAGAGTCCTGACTGAGAGGATCCAACTGGAAGCCTGTGTCAACAATTTGATAGACAAAATTAACTTACTTCAGCATAAAACAACAGAAATAGAACAAACCCAGAAAATTCTGAAGGAACACAAAGATCAGTTAGACAACCAGAGTTTCACAGTGGAGGTTGATGAGCCCTACAAGGATAAGGAAGATGTTCCTGGTGGGATGTGGTTCTTCATGTTTGGTGGAGCAGTCACCTGTAACGTCTGTGAGGAGAACTGTCACTATCCTGGATGCACACTGGCCTGGAAACCATCCCACTGTAAGGTCATGAAAAAAGGCCGATGCACCATTTGTACCAACAGGTGTCCTGCATCAGATCACGTTAAAGAAGAATGGAAATATGTGACGAAGACAAGGAGAGTTACAAAGACCATTGGGGATCTGAAAATTAAACACAAACATGAAGCTGGTAAAATGAAGAGTGAGAGTCTTCTTGAGAAACTCCAAAGTGAGAAGAAAAATCTGGAGGAAGAGAAAAACAAGCTGCTGGATGAAGCCTACCTACATATTGTCAAACTGGAACAGATTGCACTGAAAGTGGAGTCAGTGTTGACTTTCATCAACTTGGACTTCCTGATTGAGGCGATGAAGGAAAGGGGAGACACAGAGAAGGTCCAGAAACTGGAAAAGATGAGGAGCAGAATGGATGAAGGACCTATGGCAGGTCTGAGATATGGACTTCAGAAATGTGTCGAAACAGCAAAGAACGCGTTTCAAATCAGCAATTTATTTAAAAAAGGCCCAAAATTAGACACGACAAGTGGTGCATCATCCTGAACAGGTTATCGTTAGAGTTCCTGCCAGATAGAAAACATTTTGTGCTGTTGGTTCATTTTATTTTCAATTATTCACATTTTAGATGGTGAAAAGTTTTAGATTTTGTTTTGTTTTTCTTGTTGCTGTGATGCTTTTATATCATGACCTGCTCAGGTATTGGACGTGTGCCTTAGATGGTCCAGAACCTTTTATAGTAACAGCAGGTCAGCATTAACATGTTTTACTATATTATATATTTCACATCATTGGGAATGGGGATATATACCTTTATTACTCTCACAAAGGGGACATTCACACTATTTCTGATATTTTGGCTTTTAATATCATTGATAATGATCAATGTATGTTTAACTACACTTTTAATATTTGAACAAATTACTTTTGTTTCTATGTTTGAATTTTCATTTATAGTTCTTCTCCAATGAATCAGATGGATGGTTTCTTTTTAATCAATAAAATCCCCTCTTGGGAAGTAGTTTTGATCGGAACTGTTCAATAGATTTAATCTGCTGGATTCTGCTGGAAGTTGTACCTGATGATGATTTAATAAAGATATTCCAGCCCTACGTCGTTCACACGCTGATTTTTCCACCGCCAAACATGGAGTTTAAGGACTGAAGGTGAGAATTCTGACTTCATATCGAAAGTAGAGACTTATTGTGGGCTCGTGATAACCACCAGAGAACAATAGAACAATTGGACAATTGTGTGAACAATAGAGAAGAGCTTAGAAGAAAATAAAGTTAAAAAGTTAAAGATGCTAAAGAGCCTGAAGATCCTCTTTAAACTGCTGCTTTGTTGAGTTGGAAACAGCACTCATCCCTTGAGTTAGGGGCCTTTTTCCAGCATGAATGAAGGGCTTAACAGAAAGTAAATACTTTCCTCCAGCTGAGGTATTTTTTATCTGATTTCTAATGCTGCTATTTTCGTTTAATTTCATGTTTTAATTAACTGTAGTTTACAAGTTCTCTTCTTCTCAATTTTGGTTATGTTAAATATTTGGAGTAACATATTCTCTAATAAGTGAAACTAAATTTATTATTGAATAAAGAACCTTTAGCTGCCTGACTGAAGGTTAAACTTAAAGTAGGCTTTAAGCCATGTCCAACACATGAGCAATTTTGACACGGATTCTGATGCTAACCTTGGTTAGCATTCTGTTGCTAACTTCTGTTAGCACGAATCTACGCCTGTTTTTTAGGAGTTTTAGGCGAAATTTCAGAGTTAAGGGCAGCAACAAATGTTGAGATTAGGGAGAGGTGAAAGAAAAGACTAGAAAACTAATGCCGAAAACTCATTTCTGGAGGATTTCTTTCTAGCTAGTTAGCTAGAAAGCTTTTTGCAGTTAGCTAGATTAGCAGTGAGCCATTAACATGGCTAGCTATATAAAAGGAGATGTTTTAATGGGCTGTCAACAATGTGTAATAACTGTCAGAATACAGATTTGTCCTAACTATAAAGCCAAGTGAACCCAACTCAAATATGGACAAAACCAGGAGTTACCAATTCATGAAAACTCCTCTTTTTTATTCCAATTTTTCAGTCAAAGTGTGAAAGAAAACTGAAACAGGATGGAGCATTCTCTCTATTGTTTGAATATATCCCATTTTCTTCTTTTTAGTGATCCCATATGAGTGGGAGAAACTAAAAGAACTGATAAAGAAGGCTGGC